CGACATGATTATAGGCTAAGGTTACTTCTGCTCGCCAGATACACTGAATTTCCTGCAATATTAACTGTGGTCGATTTGGTGCGCCAATGGCAACCGGAGAAAAACAACAGTTTGCCGATAACAACAATCGCTAATTAAATTTTTTGATTAATACCGCAAGTTGCAACAGTGATGGTTTTTTGCCATCCCAAACACCATCGATGTTTCTTCATCAGCTTCGCGCTGCTTACGCTCATCGAACTATCTGAAGAGTTTCAATGGCAAAACCGGCTTTTCCCACTTGTAACTAGACAACCAATTGCTGAACATGCGAGTGCAGAAATAATGGTTGTTTATTTACAATTGAACACAACACGAAAGAATGTTTTAAAGGCAGGCCAAAGGTGTGGCGATGCCAACAGCATTAAAGCCAATCAGGTAGGCAAACATTTGAGATTAAAAGCTTCATTAGTCAGCGGCCAGTGTACCTACGAAGAAAATAACAGAAAGTGTCTTTATTGGTGAAATTGGCATGATCAATTAGCACTTGGGCGAATAGGTGCTGGCGCTGCAGGGAACCTTTAGACTAACCCAGTTTCATATACATTCATATATTTGCATAAGATACAAGTCGTCTAGTGTGGATACCGTTAAAAATGTTGCGAACCACATCGTTTGAAATATGACGAGGCAACTTGTGAAAAACCGCAATTGTTTGCTGAGCTGAAAGGTGACTAGTGCCAAAAAGAACCGTTGATTCGGGCGAATTTTGCCAAAAATGACAAATTGACCTGAAAGGATCATAATCATTCAATTTTGTTATATTTAAAAATATTTTTTGGTCAGTTTTATGCTTTTTTACACAGAAACAATCGAGCGATTTTTATGTCATTTTGACCATTAATGGAAACTTCGAGACGCTAAATTCTTGACAGAAAGGCTTTTTTCGCAAAAATGCATAGTTTTTGGAAAACATTTCAAAATTGCTCTTTCAGAGTAAGTTTTTTGCTTTTTTGCACAGAAACAATATACTGATTTTGATGAAATTTGGCCCATTAATGGGACCCCTATATTTTTGATAGAATAACTTTTTTCTAAAAAATGCACAGTTTTTGGAAAAATTAAAAAATTACGCTTTTAGGGTAAGTTTTTTGCTTTTTAACACACACAATGGAACGATTTTTTTGAAATCTGGCCCATTAATGGATAATCCGAGAAGCTACATTTTTGGAAGAATGGTTTTTTTCGGAAAAATGCGTAGTTTTGTAAAATTTTCAAAACTGGTCTTTCAGAGTCAGTTTTTTGCTTTATTTACGCAGAAATAATCGAGCGATTTTGATGAATGTTTGTCCATTAATGGGAAATTCGAGACGTTACATTTTTGGTAGAAATGCTTTTTTCGAAAAAATGCGTAGTTTTTAAAAAAAATTAAAAAATGACGCTTCAGGGTAAGATTTTTGTTTTTTTACGCAGAAACAATGGAACGATTTTTTTGAAATCTGGCCCATTAATGGAAATTCCGACAAGCTACATTTTCGGTAGAATTGTTTTTTTCGAAAAAATGTGTAGTTTTTGTAAAATTTTCAAAACTGGTCTTTCAGATTCAGTTTTTTGCTTTATTTACGCAGAAACAATCGAGCGATTTTGATGAATGTTTGTCCATTAATAGGAAATTCGAGACGTTACATTTTTGGTAGAAATGCTTTTCTCGAAAATATGCGGTTTTTGGAAAAAATTAAAAATGACGCTTCAGGTTAAGATTTTTGCTTTTTTTACGCAGAAACAATAGAACTATTTTTTTGAAATCTGGCCCATTAATCCAAAATCCGAGAAGCTACATTTTTGGTAGAATGGGTTTTCTCGAAAAAATGCGTAGTTTTTGTAAAATTTTCAAAACTTTCAGTCTCTTTCAGTCAGTTTTTTACTTTAGTTACGCAGAAACAATCGATCGATTTTTTTAATGGGAAATTCAAAACATTACATTTTTGGTGGAAATGCTTTTTTCGAAAAAATGCGTAATTTTTGGAAAGTTTAAAACTACGCTTTCAGGGTAAGTTTTTTGCTTTTTAACGCAAATACAAAGGAACGATTTTTTTAAAATCTGGCCCATTAATGGAAAATCCGAGAAACTACATTTTTGGCAGAACGGGTTTCTTCGGAAAAATGCGTAGTTTCTGTCAAATTTTCTAAATTAGTCTTCCACAGTAAGTTTTTTGCTGTTTTCACGCAGCAACAAAGAAACGATTTTTTTGAAATCTAGCCAATTAATGGAAAATCCGAGAAGCTAGCAGAATAGTTTTTTTCGAAAAAATGCAGTTTTTGTCAAATTTTCAAAATTACTCTTTCACAGTAAATTTTTTGGTGTTTTTATGCAGAAATAATCCAGCAATTTTGATGAAATTTTGCCATTAATGGAAAATTCGAGACGCTACATTTTGGGTAGAAACGCTTAATTTCGCAAAAATGCATAGTTTTTTTATTAAGTTTCAAAATTGTTTTTGCCTTGCTTCACTCAGAAACAATTGAGGGATTTTTTTGGCCTATTAATGAGAAATCCGAGAAATTATATACTTTTGCATGTGCCTTGAGCTGCTAAACGTCGGTGCACTAATTTTTGGTCTGCGTAGCGATAAAAGATTAGGAGGACTGGGAGGAGAAAGAAAAAACCGTCAGAAAACCGAAAAAGTTGGTAAAAAAAAACAAATCATTTTCGTTGAAAGCGTTAAAAAAATCGCTAATTTGTTCTTCTTTACACATGCTTTTATGTATTTTGACTGCTGGCTCGAATGGTGCCATCAGTTTTTGTATTAGTACCGGGCAAAAAAGTTATAAGCAAAAATCCGCAAAAATCGCTGGAAATAATTCAAAAATTGCCAACAAAGAACCAGAAAAGAGAAGAAGAGCTTTGGAAATCGTGTAAGGTGACAATAAAGAAAAATGTTTTGTGAGTTGAAAATGATCGAAAAACGTTTAAAATGCCGGTAAAAAGCCCACATACAAATAAAAAAGAACTCACTTGGAAAGATTTATCGTGAATCGAACGAAACGAACTGTTTATTTGCGTTCGCCAAAAATTCGACCAAAATATTGGTGGTCAACAAATAATCAGATTGACTGAAATGTTTTTTTGATCGAATCAAAATCACTTTGTTTCCAGGACAAAATCAAGCAAAATCAGAATCAGAAGCGAACGGAACGAACTGTTTCTTTACGTTTGAGGAAAAAATCTTCCTGAAAATCGACGTTTGAAAAAATAAGACCGCAAGAAGTTAATTAATTCTTGAGATTCCACAAAAATGACAAAGGTGGACCATATGAATCTATTTATAATTTAAAGAATAACTGCGTTTGATGCAAATCGGTGTTGTTGAGTAATGAGCACGAAATGTCTTCTAAATGGGAAAACCTACAGTTGAATGTCAAAGAAACAAAGCCCAGATAATAAAGCATTTCGTGATTTAAAAAAAACGCCAATTTCTGTTCAATATGATCCAAAAATGTCCAAATCTTTCGTATAAAAAATCACAAAGCAAACGTACATAACACACGCTTACGAGAAGAAAAAATACCAAAAACTGAAAATATATAGCAACTCTAAATATATAAGAAAACATGGCAAAAATCCGAAATTTAGACCGGTTTTGGGGTGCTTTGAAGCACGTGATTGATCGATTTTCAAAGTTAAATTCTGCTTGCGCAAAGTGTTTGCAACTTTTTTTTGGGGAAGTTTTGTCTGCCGGATCATCATATGATTGTTAACTGATAACCGACCAACGAGTGGGTCGATTATCGAAACAATAACAACTAGAAGTTGAATGTTTACGCCAGTCCAAATTCAATTATTTCGGATAAGAAGCGATTTTTTAGCACAGGTTTAGATTAAGATGACTGACAAGGCGATTTCGGTTGTTTTTCTTAAATTTCGTTAAATCGTCAATATGCAGGGCTACACGTGGCTGTGGCACTAGTAGAAACACAAGATAAAGAAAAAACACAGGAAGAAACTGTGGAATTTTGGAATTTAGAAGAAGCTGCAGCTGTTAAGCAGCTACCAAGTTTCAGCGGTTGACAGTGCAATCCGTTGAGTTTTGCGCTTTTTAAGTGAACTGGGCTTTTGCCAAAAAAATCATGCCGACAAAGTTTCAGTCAATTCAGATAGAAAATTGCAAAACGTGCATCTAAAAATTCAAAACTTCGACCCCGGAAAATATATAATGTTGTAAATTTGCTGTTTAAAGAAAAAGCTTTGGTTTCAGTGCACTCAAAAATTGAGTAAATTCTTACGATGCATGGAATTTGAGACGTTTTTAAACTTCACCGAAAAAAGCGCCTTTTCAGACATTTAACAGACCTTTTAGCTCCTAGCATAGAGCAGATCAGAGCGTGACACTCCAAACATTTGAGCTCAAAAGCGTTGAGTTCAATACATTCGGAGTTTCACTCAATTCCGACCAGGCACTGCATTTGGTAATTTTTTTTAAATTTTTCCTCAATAAGCGATTATTTTCAATTGAGCGGATCGATTTATAAAAATTCATAACTCCTACCCTGGCGCAGGTAAACGACTGATCTTTCGGACTTTTATAGCAAAAGCTTTCAGTTGATTACACTCGCAGTGTGGCTCAATTCCGACGAGTCATTGGGTTTTCCCGAATTTTTTTAAACTGCCTAAAAAAGTGATTTTTTTTCAAATTGAGCAGACCGATGTATAAAAATGCATAACTCCTACCCTCGTGCATGTAGGAACCGCCAAGATGATTTATAAAAAAGCCTTAGGTTAAAATGCGCAAAGTTTCCGTTCAGCTCGAACTCGCCACTGGAGTTTAGGGAGATTTCTGCCCAATTCAACACACATTTACACGAACATTAACAGATGAATGAGACGATTCTTTCCATCAATCACGCCTTGTTAAATAACCGTGCCAAGCACGACCGCTTTGGTAAACTTGAAAATCGATTGTTCTTTGCGCCGGTCCACCAAGGCACCAACTCGTGCAGAACCGAATCAACTAAGCACTCACCTGTCGTAACATATTGTTGCCAGTGGAGGAAGACGAGGAGTTCTTGGGAGGCTCCACCATCTGCCCCCTGTTGCTCATCAGGCGCGCATTGCTCCTGCTATCCATCCGCACCCCATGGTCGTCGTCCTGCTGATTCAACAGCTCCTTCAGAATGCGATCGCGATTCCCGTCCTGCTGATCGTTCATATGGCTGCTGTTCGCATTGGCCGTTGGAGGATTGGTCAGCAGCACCCGGAGCCTGCACAAACAATCCACCCGATCATTAAGGCGATGCTGGCAAGCAGCCGATCAGAGCGCTACCTTTGAGGCCCTGGATGGTTGCTCGGCTCATCTAGTGCTTTGGTATCTTTCTGCTCATCAACCGGATAAACTGGCTGTTCGGAAAAGTCCTCCATGAGACCCAACAGCATGTAGTTGCTCGGTTGGCTCTGCTGTCCCTGATTGGCGGTGATTGGCTGTCCTGGACTGGCCATCGTCGTGTAATGCGTCATCGGACTTTGGACTACAGTAGGCGCATTGCTGTACGATGGATTACTTGGTGGCCTGTTTAGGAATTATATTGTTCGAGTTAGTCGGGGCGGGAGCGAAAGAGAAGTTATCATGTTGGAAAATCGTTCACACTGATGATGGTACAAAACCAGTTTTTTTGACTCTTTCTTCCATAGAAAGTCGCAAAGATCAGGACAATAACACAAGAAAAACGAGCAAATTACCTGGGCGTTGGTGTCGAAACCGGAGTTAGACTCTGCCTAGAGTTCGGCCTAGCAGTTTCAGGCCAGGGCGGCTCCAAGTCCCACGTTGTGGTGGGGAAATCCAATGAAGGAAAATCGTTGTCCAGAAATTCCGTGGGGAAATTCGTGCCGGATGAAGCTGTCTGGATCAGACTCGCCGTGGACGCTGAGGAGGAAGGAGGCCCGGAATCGCCAATGGAAGGGGGGCCATTGCGAGTGGGGGTTCCGACTCCATTCACTATGCTGTTCATCAGGGGTCCCCCAATTCCCCCACCTGGATCCAAAGTGTCGTTGTCACTGAAAAAAACAAGCGTTTAGTCTACCAAATGGTTGGGGGCACTTGATTGGACACAGCTGAAAAAAACCCTGATATTTGAGATGTTTGTCCATTTGCAACTGAGAAAATGCGTGTTTTCCGGCTATGGTTTTATCGCTTGAAGACTTCGAGTTGATCATCGGCCATGTTGGGACACTCGTATTTCATTCAAGTTGAACAGCCAGTGAGTTTAACTTAAAAAGTGATTTTTGAAGCTGGAAAATCCTGTGGGGGTCTGTAAAAGTTCAAAACTCCCTCTCTGCCACAGATGAAAATGCAAAATTGGGCGTTCATCGAAGAAGCCTTGAGTTTAGAACACGGAAAGTTTCATTCCATTCTTATAACCGGTTGATTTTGCAAAAGCTTCAACCTTTACCTCAAAAAGAAAACTTTCAAAATTGCGCCGACTCGTCGCCAAAAAATAACTTCTCAGTTTGATTTGCGAAATTGCTGACATTGTGGGCATTCGCAGAAAAAGTGAGTTGACCGTGGGAGAAGTTTCACTCATTTACAACGCGTCACTGAGTTTTTCAAACATTTTCAACTTTACATTGAAGTATCTTTTTAACTGGCAAAGATAATCGGTTAAAAGTTGGAAAATTTACTGAAAAAGCCTTTGATCTTAACATGTGCAAATAGAAAATCAACTGCGGCAAGCCATTGAGTTTTGCAAATTTTTCCTTAAAAAATATTTTTTTTTCAAAGAAACGTTTTTATTAAAAATCCGTATGAGGCAGCCATCTGTTCAGAATTTTATAACTTCTTCCTAACAAAATAACACCCTTGAATTCAATGGATACCAAACTTGACTCTATTTCAACTGTCCGCTGAGTTTTGCGGCTTTTGTTAAATTTACTTTAAAAAGTGATGTTCTTCAATTGAGGAAGCGTATTTTTAAAAACCGATAATTCTAACCCTGGAGCATATAAAACAACGAGTTTTTGGAAACTTATAGAAAGAGCCTTGAGTTCGACGCATACAAAGCATCAGTTAATTGCTACGCTCCATTGAGTTTTGCGGACCTTTTAAACTTTACCTCAAAAAGTGTCAAAAAGTACTGTGGGTCTGGAAAACTTCAAAACTCCCTCTCTGCCACACAGACGAAAACGCCAAATTGGGCGATCATCGAAAAAGCCTTGAGTTTAGGACACAGAAAGTTTCACTCCATTCTCATAACCTGTTGAGTTTTGCAAAAGCTTCAACCTTTACCTCAAAAAGAAAACTTTCAAAATTGTTGTGAATTGACCGTGGGCGAAGTTTCACTCATTTACAACGCGTCACTGAGTTTTTCGAACATTTTCAACTTTACATTGAAAAGTGTCTTTTTAACTGGAAAATATACTCGGCTGAAAGTTGGAAAATTTACTGAAAAAGCCTTTGAACTTAACATGTGCAAATAGAAAATCAACTGCGGCATGCCATTGAGTTTTGCAAATTTTTCCTTAAAAAATAATTTTTTTCAAAGAAACGTTTTTACTAAAAATCCGTATGCGTTTCTGGATGCTTAAACAAAAAGTCTTCAGTTCGATGTTTTTCACCAAGTCTCACTCACTTCCAGAGCAGCTCGATTGCCTTTTGCGCACTTTTCAAACTTAAAAAGTGACTTTTTCGAAAAGTACAAGCAGCCATCTGTTCAGAATTTCATAACTTCTTCCATCGAGCCGATAAAAGCCGCAACTTTCCAACATTTATAGAAACATCCTTGAATTCAATGCATACCAAACTTGACTCTATTTCAACCATCCGCTGAGTTTTGCGGCTTTTGTCAAATTTACTTTAAAAAGTAATGTTCTTGAATTGAGGAAGCGTATTTTTAAAAATCCATAATTCCAACCCTGGAGCATATAAAACAACGAGGTTTTGGAAACTTATGGAAAGAGCCTTGAGTTCGACGCATTTAAAGCATCACTTAATTGCTACACTCCATTGAGTTTTGCGAACCTTTTAAACTTTACCTCAAAAAGTAACTTTTCCAAAAAATGTGGCCATCTCTCTAAAAATCATAGCTTCTTCCCTCGAACAGATAAAACGCCGGAACTTTGCGACATTCATTTAGAAAGCCTTGGGTTAAATGCCTGCAAAGTTTTATTCAATTCTAATTAATAGCCGAGTTTTGCGGATTTTTTTAACTTGTCGCTAAAAAGTGACTTTTTCAAAGAGTGCAGTAGTCAAGTGTTTAAAAAATTACAACTTTAATCGCCGAGCAGAGAAAAGCTGAGAATTTGAACATTTATAGAAAAAGACTTAAATCCCATCCACACAAAGCTTCCTAAGGTCCATCGTTACATTCAGATTTTCGGGCTCAAAATTAAACTGTATACGTTTATAGAAAAAGCCTGGAGTTCAATGTGTACAAAGTTTCTCCCATTTGTTGCCAGCGGAGGAGTTTTGCGAACTTTTGACATTTTGCGGTAAAAATTAAACTCTTTTTTGCAAAGAATGAAGCCCAGTTTCTAACAATTCCTCACTCCTACCCTGGAGCAAGTAAACGTCTGACACTTTGGAGATTTATTTAAAAAGTTTCACTCATTTATGAGCGGCGATGGAGATTTTCCCTACAAAAAAGTTTTTGAAAGTCCTGTTTCTAAAAATTCGCAGTTTCTACCCTGGAACAGGTGAACGCCTGAAACGATTTACGATATTAACAGAAAACCGCTCGACTTCAATGCGTACAAAGTTTCACTTATTTGCGATTAGCGATGAAGTTCTGCAAAATTTTGAAATTTTACCATAAAAAATGGTTTTCAAAGGAAGCAACCTTGTATCTTAAAATCCGTAATTCCTACCCTGGAGCATGTGAACGTTTGAAACTTTGTACATTTGTACAAAAGCCGTAAGTTTAATGGGTAGAAATGTTCACTCACTTGTGAAATGCGCGAAGGTTTTGCAAATTTTCCAATTTTACCTTAAAAATTATCTTTTCCAAAGGATTCAGCCTTGTTTCTAAAAATTCCTATCTCCTACCCTGGAGAACGTAATCACAGGAGATTTTAGTTCAATGCGTAAGAGGTTTCTAGTAATTCTCACATTCCATAGTTTCGGGAAACTTTGAAAACTCAACCTCAAAAAGTAATTTTTCCAAAGCGTGCAAACCAGTTTCGAAAAATTCATAACTCCTGCCCTGGACCCGATAAAATTCTGGAATTTTGAGCATTTATAGCAAAAACCTTGCACTCGCTGCATAGAGAGTTTCACTCACTCCAGTCCGCAAATGGTACCAAAATGACAGCAGAAAATGAATAAAAAAATGGTTCAGACCGCTTATAAAACCAGCTGAAAAATAAATTTGCACGAAACTTCCTAAATTCCAAGAAAAACGACGATTTTGAGTTGAAAAGATACTTAGCGCGTTTAGTTAGCGAGAAAAACACGTTTGTGATGTTTAGACCAACTTTGTACGACAAAGTTAAATTTCCGAAGAAAAACCAGCTGAAAAATAAATTTGCACAAAACTTCCCAAATTCCAACAAAAACGACGATTTTCAGTTGAAAAGATACTTAGCGCGTTTAGTTAGCGAGAAAAACACGTTTGTGGTGTTTAGACCAACTTTGTACGACAAAGTGAAATTTCCGAAGAGAAACCAGCTGAAAAATAAATTTGCACAAAACTTCCTAAATTCCAACAAAAACGACGATTTTGAGCTGAAAAG